AAAATAAGAGATAAAGAGTTAAATCAAAAAGGAATGAATTAGTTTATGTTTTATATGAAAAATAGATAAGAATAACATGGAAATATTTTTGAATGCCAAATGTTGTTAGGGAACTAGAGGCTGTAAAGGTAAAAGAATTAGCTAAAAGAAGGAAAAAAGCTTGAGGTAATGGAACAAAATGTGTTTAAATAATAGCAAATTTTTTGAAAATGTTCTTCTTGCTTCTCTGTAAAATACTTATAAAAGGAATCATTTTTACTTGAACAAAGTGTGTGCCTTCCCCACCTACAAAAAGTAATAAAATTAATAAATAAAGACCCTAAAAAATTTTTTACTCAAAAAAAAAAAAAAAAAATTCACAAAGTAAAACGTTCTTTCAGGACCCTTCACTTATCTCATCCTAACTCTCTTAACAATGCTCCTTAATCATCGCCCTAGACCAGTGCCAGATCGTCCCACTTCTAAGACGTTGAGGAACATTATGCAACATACCCCATTTGCTAGTGACAATTCGTCGCATTTCTTAATTGCTTTTGTGTGTGAAATCCCACCAATCTACCAGTAACAGTGTATAATTTGGGCTGGACAACACAATTTGGCCAACCTGAACTGTTGGTAAGTTTAGGAAATGTAGATAATCAACAAACATAAAAGCATGTTTGCTGCGATTTTTTTACTATTTCTGGTTTGTCAACAAGATTTCAAATGATCAATCATAGGTGATTGATTGTATTAGTGAGCAGGTAATTAAACCATAATGGCTTTAGTATTGATTCTGAAGTTCTTTTCAATTTTTTTTTATCAAAACATTAATATCTTTTTAAATAAATAATATATAGTTTTATTTGATAGCTATGTATAAAATTTCTACAGTTCCACTAGCAAAAACCACAAGCCATCAATTATCTGGAACTTTTTATTTGCCACAAATTCTAAACTTAACTGATAGGTCTGAAGTATGATATTTTAATACAACAGATGCTTTTGATTTTTCATTAAATTCTCATTATAATAATTAAAAAACTTCGAATTAGAAAATGTTTTTTCCGAAATAATCGATTACTTTCAAAGATCGTTTACATTTATATATATATTTTTACAGACAATGTATTAAATCAGAACAATTGAAATAACCATACCATGATATACTGTTATATTCAATAGCAAGTTGGTTGTTCTTACAAATCATCTTTATGTATATATAATTTAATGAACATCATTAATGTACTGCTAATCGTTTGGTCTTAATTGAATCACGAAAGCACTGTTACTCTTAATTTTTATCTATTTAATTAATGCACAACCTTTTTATTTTATATTATTTTGATGTTTAGAAATTTCTTATTTTATACTTTTTTCTATTAAATCAAATCTATTGGTTATATTCTAAATAGAAGAAAGTCTGAAAATAAATTTTCTGTTATATAACTTGAGCTTGTTCAAAAAAAACTCATTAATTCTTTTATATAAAAAACTACACTGTTTATATAAAAATCTATTATACTAATTTTAACATTTTGGGGGTTTTTTTTATAGTTAAAGTCACTGTTTTCGGGGAACGATTTTATTCAAGTTATATATGGACACAGAAACCTCCAAGGACTCCCTTACATAGGAGGTTACAACTTGCCACATGTATTATATGTAAAATTTATTTAACAATTGTTATTACACATTTATTGTAATATTGAATTTAAAATCAACTTGATATTTAAATTTATCGATTATCAAAGTTAGAATCAACTCAGGTTGCTTTTAAATTTCGTATCAACTTGGGCTACATTTGGAATTCAATTTCGACCTAAGCTGATTCTAAATAGCATGGTTAAATTTCCTTTTATTGGCTAAAAAATCCAATTGTGCAATAATGTTGTACAATATGAACAATTCAATTTTAAACTAACCTTTTTTTACAAAAGAAAAGTTGTATAATAAAGTGCAACAGAAACCGCTTAAAATTTATATAAACTTGTAGCTTTTTAAACACATTTTCAAGATCTAAAGATCTAAAAATGTTTCAAAGATCTTTTAATCAGCTTGACTTTACATAAGGCCACTTTTCATAAGAAATATACTTTAGAAGTGCTTGTTTATAGAATAAAAAACAATTGACGAAATCACTGACCAATCATAATCATAAATTGTCACGAATTTTATTATCATGATTTCGACCAATAAATGGCTTTTTAACCATGTTATTCTAAAAAATTCACAATAATTCTGTTTCAACGTACGACAGTAATATTAGTATTAGTTTGACCAGATCATTTAATCATTTGAAAACTTTTTGGTTGACCACTGATTTTAATGACACTAATATAAAGAAAGAGACAACGCGTGAAAAAAACCACATGTAAATACGACTTACATAGCGTCGCCCAGAAAAAATGGTAGCCGGATTTTTTGTTGGTTTACATGTGACTTCGAAAACTGATTACCGGTAAAATAATGTTTATCATGCTTACTAATATATAATAATAAACATTATGGTAGCACTTGCTTTTTGTTTTGATCTTTGTTTTGGCTTTTATTAGCCATTGTTTTGATAACTTGAATCAAACATGATAGTTACAGTATATTGTATAGTTGTTCAGTGCCTCATGTTAATTTGGCTAATTAATTAAATAAATGATTCAAGTTTGCGAATGTTTATTCCCATTAATTTAGTAAGTATACACTCGTAGCGTTAATTTAGTTGGTGAATATAATGTTTCTTTATAAATAAATCTCACCACATGGTATTGTTCATATAATTTCGGTAATTATATTGTTAAGTAAGCTTATTAAGACTAAAGCATTTATTCAATATTGAAAATTTTTTACCAACGAACTTAAAACACAAATGCTTTGGCCAAGAATTCATGAAGGAAAATCCAGAGACTTAGAATAAGATAATATATTTAAATTAGATTTTTTTTTTAAAAAAAAAAAAAAATTAGTCGATTTTCAGAATCGATTCTAAATACTGTTTGTTTATTCATATTAATTTAATTAAGTATAAAGATTTTGATCGATCTTTTAAATAAGTTATTTAAGTTCGTGAATATGTATACTCTGCCTCTTGTTTATTAATGTTAATTTAGCTGTAAATACAAAGAATTTTAATGTTCAAAATAGAGTTGTTGGTGAAAGTAAATTGTGCTGGTGAAACTGGTAACTATCTAAAATCTGATTGGTCATTAAATGGAATAGCCAATCAGATTTTGGATAGTCAGCACAATTTAGTTTCAACAACTCTAGTTCAAAATAAACACAGTATATTGGATCTTTTTATTCGTGGTATTTAGTTATGTTTAATTAATGCCCTGAAATTCATAAAGTCATAAGTTCTAAGCTATATTGTGAATAATGCAATATAAAAAATTAATTGTATATTAAAGTTATTTTAATGATATTGTATATTTATTTTAATCTTTATTACATTTTCATTGAAAAAAAAGTTTTCATAAAGTAAATAATTCATATTTTGCCAGCAATCAGTTTTTGAAAATCACATGTACTATAAGCCAGCTACCATTTTTTCTAAGGTTGTTATGAAATACAAGTTTATAGTATTATTATAATTATCACTGTGTGTGATACAAGTTTAAGTTACTTTAAAAACAAGTATAAGGATATGCCAATCCACCCGTGGCCTCTTGATATAGTGATCAGAATTATACAAAAAAAATATCTGCGCAAATTAAGTCACATCCTGATCTTTCAAACTGTGCCTCTGGTTTACGGGTATCACATTGTACACAACCGGATTCGAACATCGTTTATTTTCCGTAGAAACATCATGACCACACGTTCTAACCGTTAATCCAAATCAGAATGATCACCAGATTTTTTAAATGTATTCCTTATAACCATATATCCATATATAGGTGCATAGCAGGTTTCTTTGTGATTGGATGATAGACCCAGAATGTATACGAATTGTTAAAACGAAATATGCAACAAGAGCTTTGAAATATTAGAGTAAAAATATTGGGTCTAGTTAAATTGGTTTAATATAATAATAATAGAATTTTACCTTTCTAATTAAATACAGTATACGTATTACTGCTTATTAGAGTGTCTACTAGAATATCGAGCTAATATATATAGGTTAGATCTAAGTTTACTTTATACCAAAAATGCATATCTTTGATCAAAATATTAAAATATTTTTAGCTCGTCTGAGCTCGGAATTCTTGTTTACTGTGATAGTATAGAAATATTTCTTTGATTTAATGTAACCAATTTCTAAGTAGTTTCTCTGTGTGTTTTATGTTTATTAATTGTCTATACTTTCTGAAACTTTCTGTTATGATTGATACATGGCTTAATTCCAGGATATTTTTATGAATTCGGTAGAGGAGCATAATCTACATTTTTGATCCTTCTACACCTGCTTTTTTGATACATCTAAACATACTCTAAACGTTTTTATAGTGAAGTATCAAAAATGAATGTTTTGCGGCAGAGAATTGGTTTTCCGTTCACGTGCCGAAGTCGCTTGTTTTCAAACAAAAAAAGTCACTTAGGTTAGGTTCGGATTATAAAGGGTGTCCTATAGTAAAATTACTCGAGGAATTTTTTTTGTAGAACCCAAATGATTTACTAGTATAATTTTTGAGATAATCGCTATTTTTGCAAAGCGACTGTTGGTTTTGAAATTTTACGTTACACGTGATCCTGATCTTTGATTGGCTAATTGATCTCGTAAACTGGCGTTGTTTGCGCAGGCGAAGAAAAACTGGAAAAAAAAGAAAACGAGTGTTTAAACCCTTGGAGCACTAATTAAAAATGAAGTGAATGAAATTTTACATGTAGGAAATGATTATTTATTTTTATCGTTTCTAACTTTAACGTTCCAATTATAAATGCTGGTGAAATTTAATATAGCAGCCAATCAGATTTTAGATAACCACAGCATCTATACTCCAACCCTAAATTGAATTTCCTCGAACAAATAAGTAAATCCGACCCAGTTTATTGAAATTTAAATCGGTTCCAATCACTACCCTGATCTAATGAGACAATCATCTGTTGAAGCCATTGCGCATGAATCTAAACGCACTGCAACAGTGAGATGCCAACCCTTGTTCTTTTATGTTATTTTTTAGTTGACGTACATTTATTACTTTTGACAAAGGTCTGAAGCAAATTAAGCATCGTTACACAAATCGTAGATCATCACGGAACTGTCAATTCTCGAATTTAATTGGTAGTTTCTGACTAACATTGCACAAACGTGCATTCGATTTTGTTAAGTCTTCACTACGCTTCGGACAATAAAGAAACGATATCCAGGAACTTATTGGATCCCGTAGTCAATAAACATACAAAATATTATACACACTATACAGTAAGAGACCCAATGTACTTACAGTATTTTGCCGAAAAATTACGGTATATAAAATCATACCGATACTAAAAAAATTAAATTAAATTTCCGTATATACTAAGAAAAAAGACACTAGTTCCAAATGCAACGCCCAACCACCACTACCACCACAGCTACTCAAAATGTATTCTTTTCAAATTTAGAAGAGGATCTAAATAAAAAACTTGATAATGAAATTGAGCAACTTACTACGAGCTTCCGTGATATTGTGAAAGAATCAGGCTTTTATGCGTCTGCTCGAATACCTAATAGAGATAATGACAGTAGGGTACTATATAATGTTGATTTTTAAACAGTATAGGTGTAATTTTATGAAATAGCTTTAAATGTTTTTATAATTCAAAAATCGTAATCTTTGTTAAACAAATATTATAAGGAAGTTGCAAAAGACGAATATCGAAATGCTTTAGACGAATATGTCTGTGAGCTACGAGCTGCAAACATAGTAAGATAAATTTTTCTTTGAAAACGCTTTTATTTTCATTAATTAATAATTTATTCTGCTTTAAAAGGTTCGGGCATGTGAAACCCTTTTAACCTTGACACACGATTTAAAAACAACTCTATTATTAAACGATACACAAACGTTAATGCAATTACGCGAAAGTAGGAAAAATGCATTGAATGCTAGAACCCAAAAGATTAAACATAAGATTATACAGCTTAATGATGCAGTTAGTGATGCTATCTGGGAGATGGAATGTGTGCTGGGAGAAGGGCTACCGAATAATTGATTATGAAGACAATTATAATTATTTGATTGATTAGTGGTGTATCATTTGTTCTTTGACGTCAAAATTATAGTTAAAAAAAATACGCTTATATATAATTAAAGAAAATCAAGCAATCAAGTAATTTCTTTTTTTAAAAAAAAGAAAACACGCATACCGAAATAGTGCTCTAAGTTTTTATTTTTAAATTGATTTCAATGAGTGTAAAAGTTTCGAACAAAACATTCCATGAAGAGCAAAAGCTTGATGCATTTGTTGTTGAGTGACCAATTGTAGAATAAAGTTCCTTGACAAGAAGGAACGAGTCAAAGTTTCTATATATAGGCTAGGTGCTGCAAAAAGAGAAGAAATTGACAAATTTTTTAAATTTTGATTTTTTTACATAAATTAATTTAGAAAAAGATATGATTCATTTTTCACTTAAAACATAAAAATAATTGTATTAATAAAATTTTGCAGTATTTTTCTTCAAAATGTGCAATTTATTATGACTTCTTATAAAAGTTATTACATAAAAATTGATCTTTTTTGATTTCTCCTTTTTTGCAGCACTCAGCCCATATAGTATACGTTACATTTTCTTTTTTTACTTATGTAAAAATTGCAATTATTTGTAACAATTTAATTGATCGTAATTGTTAATAATTTAATTGTGATTAAATTTTCGTTACCCCTGATTGGGAGGATCCAAGTTCGTAATGGTAATGATGTAATGTACTTACGTGGACTGCATGATTTACGATGAATCTGACTTTGGTAGATACTGGTAAGATTTTTTTTTTTCAATCATAAATTAAAAATTTTATTGACTCAAGAGAAATAATATTATTTAATCAACCTATAATTCAAATTATAATAAACAGAAAAAATAAATTATATTTGAAGTTTTTCAAACAATCTCATCGATAATTCATATACAGTAAATGTACATCCTGCGGCGGGTAAACTAAAGATTAAGTGCATATCCGTTTATAATTGATATTCTGTTTACGTAATGAAAGAAATTTAATAAAATTCATTGATGCCTTACCTTCTCAACACTTTATAATAAAATAATAACATATAATTTTTTTTAATATTTATAATAATAATTAATGCATAAATTATTTGAAAAAAATGATTTGCTAACTTACTTGTAGGTGTAATACCTCTCAGAAATGCTGTAGCACCTTCACTCTTATATATCGATTTGAAAGTGGTAAATACATAAAAAATTCCTTTAGGAGGACTATTCTGATTTTGAACCTATAATCGAAATAGTTGTTTTATATATTTTGCTAGCGTACATATCAATCTCGATATTTCAAAATGTTAAATGTCCACACCTTAGATTTAATCACGTCCAAAGGGTAACAAAATGACCAATAACATATCCCTCCAAAAGATCCTGCTAACATTAACGTCGTAGGTGGTAGATTATCAGGATTACTCCCAACTGGTGTAAGTTTCCTTTTAGCAAATTCAAACCCGCCATAAAATCCTGCATAACCTGGAATTTCACGTGCTACTGTAGCCCAAAATCCTCGAAACAACCCATTTCGAATTCCAAATTCTTTAATTAATTGTTGCGCACAATCAATTGGTCCTTTATACCGTGATACTTCGGTTGATCCATATTGCGCTTGCATTTTAACCTTTAATAATTCGACGGGTGATGAAAGAATACTATTAAACACTCCTATTTATATTAAAATAAACCACGTATGAGTGTGTTAAATAAATAAATATCGCGTCTATGCATTTAATTGGTCTAGCCTTATTGTGGTAAAAAAAAAAAACTATTCATACCTGCACCTGCACCAGCAATTGCAATTTTGTGAAGTGCCAGTTGTTCATCTGGCGAAACAGCCTGAATTGCTTTTAAACGCGAGTAAGCTGCAAAAAGTAATGCATTTACCGCTCCAATTCCAATTAAAGGACTAGCCATTCCTAAAAAAAAATAGTAATTATAATGTCATCGTAAGTTAATTGGCACATAAACTCGCCAATGAGAAATTAATAATAACCTTTATAAAGAGCGAAAGGTCCCTCTTTCTTAACAGTTTGTAAAAAGCAGTCCATAGGACCTTTGAATCTTGTGGTTTCTATTTGTAATCGTGTCTTTTATTTTTACGATTACACTATCAGTTTATTTTGTATGAAATATTGAAATAATTGAATAAGTTTATAAAAGATTCATCATACTTTTATAGTATCCAGAGGTTGTCCAACAGAAACTTGTGCCTATAACATATTTAAAAATGAAATTGTAATTAAAGATGTTATTGGCCCCACATGGAACTAAATTAATAACTTGAACTACAATTCAAGCTATAACTTAAATAATGGCTTGAACCTTAGTAGGATAGTTGCTCTAACTGTGGTTAGTAGCTTTAAAGTCATGGCTACAACTATAGCTTAAGTGTGACTTGAAGTCAGCTTAACCCATAGTTTAGGTATAGTTTTAAAGATACTCGAGCCACAATTGTTATAATTCGAACCATAATTTTAAATGTTATACAGTCTTATCTAATCAAATGTTAGATAAATGGCTTGAGCCATGGTTAGACGTAGCCTAAACCATACTCCATAACTTAAATTATAGCTAAAGTATGTCTTATCTTAAGCAATAGCTTAAGATTTAAGCCATTATTTAAGCTATGATTTAAGCCATGATTTAAGCCATTATTTAAAGGCCATAGATAGTTTGGCTTCAGCTGTAGTTTTTTTATTAAGCCAAGCCGAATAATTCAAGCCAATGACATCCCTAAATTTGATTTGACTCAAGTTCCAGCATAAAGTATATAGATAAAATCCTGCCCGTGTAAACCTACCATACCAGCAAAACTAAATATTCAATTCTTTTAAAAACGAATGGAAAAAATATTTAAAAGAAAAAAAATGGGCATAATGAAACTACTAACCTTCCAGCTACAAAATCTTCCCAGCCTCGTTTTGATGACTGAATAGTAATAACAGCTTCTGTAACATCTGTCATCGTTCTAATAGCAAAAGAATATGTTAACTAGGAATAAAAGATTCACGTATTAATTATTCAATAAATTTTTCGATCATCAAAAAATGTCGCGTAATTAATTACAAAATGTTGTTCACTCACGTTTTAGGTAAGAGCTGTCTTAGATCGACAATTCAAGCAATGATAAAAAGTTTGATCATCAAAATTTATTATGACTGATTGATAATGGTTGTTACACGATAACTCAGGGGACGCACTTATTTTGGCGAGTAACACAAAACTCTTAAAAAGGAAATAGCCAATTAGAGAGTGCAAATTTTGACTATTCCGACATAGAATCAAACACGCGCGAAAGAAGAAAATACTCAAAAAGTAGTGTTTAAAATCGACTTTGGTGCACTAACTAAAAATTTTGGGAATCTATAGTCCCAAAATTTTTATTTCACGCACTTAGTTTATTTACGAAATCGGATTTCATTTTTTGGGGTCGCCTAAAGCCATTACCCACGTGACTTTTTTGTGTAAAGGCAGGGACCCGGGAAAATATCGATATGACATAGGCAAAAAATATATATAGAATGCAAGTTCATGATAACGTGATCAAGCATTTTCTTTATCTTTTTTATTTATTGATCTTATGTTTTTAGAATAACTTTACAAAACTGCTTCTAAGAATCCTGATTATAATACATAATCGTAAGAGTATGAAGTGATTCTTTACTAAGGAAATTCTTGCGCACGAGTATGTGCAGTAGTTTAATTTATAACACCTCTAAAGCAATATGAGGTAAGATATCAAAAACCTTGAAACGTGAAATACTGGTTTACATAACCAAGATCAGCAAAATAATGCTGAATAACTTTTGTTCGCTTCTGAATTTAAATTAAAAAAAGGCTGTTAGCCTTTTATATTCTGATGATCGTGATACCTTTAATAGTAGATAAATCACCAGTCAAAAAAATTTCTCTGACCAATCAGATTTCAAGATCTCGTGTAACAAAAAAGCGCAAAAAGATTAACCCAACAAAAAAACGCTCGTGGCTCAAAATTTTTCCTAGGAAAGTGCCTTCTGTATACTAACAAAAAAAATTCCTCGTGAAATTTTACTATAACTGTGACCCTTTAAACCAAACATTAATTTACTAGTTGAACCTTAATCTTAAACTAATTGAAATAATTTTTTAAATAAGATCACATTAGTTGGTGAAATGGTGATGCTAGACTTATAGATGCCTTTGGTTATTAAATTTTGGTCAGTGTTATTTATAATTCTGGTCATTATAATGTGTAATGTTACACGACAGCAAAAATTATAAAATTATCGATTTACCAATGATTTGGCCCAAAAATATTGATTTACATTGATCTAAATAGATTAATATTTTTTCAGGTCCCTGCCTTAAGGTAAGAAAAAACTCGAACAATGCTAGTAGAGGTTACATTGCTGCATTATTCACTTTTCTGCAACTCTGATTGGTTAGAATAAGGCTCAACCAATCAGAATTGCAGATTTGGAATAAAATTTAAAAATTTTATATTAAAGTCAATGTAACCTTTATTAGTATTATTCGGAGTCCTAGTAAAAATGTTCCAAATATAAGATCATTAACATAAAAAATGATTTTGTTACTAAAGATTTTATTACTAAAGATTATCTATATACATATTTAGTTTAAAAACCATTTTTTTTTATTAAGTTTATTATATAAATATTTGACTATAATTATAAAGATCAATAAGTTAAAACTGTAATTATAAATGCAAATTTATAGTTTAAATACTGTATTTTTACATAATAACACTTATAAGCATTATTTAAAAATTATATCACTTAAAAATTTTTTATATATAATCTCAAAATAATGTCTATATATGTTTTAAAATAATGCCTATATATGTCTCAAAATAATGCCTATGTGTGTCTCAAAATAATATACACTTATTATATAAAATTCTTAAATATTAATATTCTAATTATATATAATAATATTATTACAACAGATTCTTACAAATAAAGATTTAGATATCTTTAAGATTTACTTTATTTCATTTAAAAACAACTTTATAAATGTTAAGATTTTAATTGCAAAAGTAACTAATTTGTTTAAACAACTTAAAAGTATAATAACTTTATAATAATATTAAATTAAAATAGATTACAAATATACAAAATAGAGTTGTTACTAGAGTATTTTAGATTATAATAAAATATATCTCTTAAATTGTATTCCAGGCAAATTTGCCTGGAAAATTAAATTGTATTTAGTATTTTTTAAATAAAATAATAATTTTATTAATGATATAGAATATATTTTGCTTATGAAATATATTCTTAAAAACATATTTTATAAACTTTATTATAAAACTTTTTTCAAA